TAGAAGTACATGTCCAAATAAAGACTTGTGAAAGAATATTCACAGCAGCTTTATTCTTAAGACCCCCAAACTGGAAGCAGCCCAGTTATCTATCAATAGGAGAAGGGATAAACAAACTCTGGAATATGTATACAGTGAAATAAACCAGCAAAATGAAGGAGTGAATTACTGATCATGCAACAACAGGAATGAATTTCAAAAACATACATAACGTTCTGGAATAGGCAAAATTACAATGTGGTGGAAAAATAATCAAAACAATGGTTGCCTCTGACGGAGTAGGGTGGAGATTTTGATTTATTGGGAAGGGCCATAAAGAAACTTTCTAGGTGGTGGTAATGTTCTGTATCTCAAGAGGGGTTTGGGTGCACAGATGTGTGCATTTGTTGGAACTCATGAATGAATTTGTGCATTTCACTGTAAGTTGTATCTCAAAAGAATAAAATATAAGTATTGAACTCTTAGTTCATGGTATACATGCTGAATTTTCTGGAGGAAAATGTACTGATGTCTGCATCTCACTTTGAAATGCATCCAAAAATAAATAAGATGGATGGATGGATGGATAGATATATGATAAAGCAAGTATAGTTGAGTGTAGCATCTAGGTGGTGGGTATATTTATATTTGCTGTAAATTCTTCTGACCTTTCTGTATGTTTAAAATTTTTCATTTAAAAATTTGGAGAGAAGGAAGTATCGATAGACTAAAAAAAAAAAAAAAAATGTGGAGATAAAACACCAGTTGGATTCTCTCTCCTGGGAATGAGAGACATTTCCAACTTCCACACAGAGTTGGAAAGATGTTGGGAGATGAATTGAATTACTTGTAGTCTCTACAGAGAAGGTTTAAGGGCTCCTTGTCTCCCCAGAACGACTCTGGAATTCACTCTCTCCAAAGCCTGATTGTTTGGATCTTCCCCAGATTCACTAAACTATTCAGCATCTTTCCAATAAATGCCCTGTTTGCTTAAGACTAGTCAAGTACCCTGGGGTTTCCTACACCCACGAGAACCTTCACTAACTCAGCCTCCAGGATCCCCGCCTCACCAGGAATCCGTGACTCAGAAGTTGGGAGTCGGGGAGGGTGGTATGAAGGGCTCCAGGGAAGGTGGACTGGCACATTCTGAACCACTGCTGAGGACCCTTGTTGTGTAGAAAACCAATTTCTAAGGCAGGATTTACTAGTTCCTTTTCTTATGTTCTCTCTATCCGCTCACATCAGTCAGGGCTTTATGTAACTTCACATTACCCATGTTGAAAGTCAATGCAATTTGGCATTTGGTAATTATGTGGGCCCTGTTCCCTAAGTGGCAATTATGTGGGCTATGTTCCGTGTAACCACCTAATAAATGCCTAGATGACTGTTTTGGCAACCAGAGATTAAGTGGCCCAGAATCCGCCCTTTCATCTACCAAGCAGAACGTTCTAGGTAGAATCCTGCAGAATGGGCAATTACTGAGCTGTCCTCCACATTCCTCTGTGCGGAAGGTGGGGAGGAGTCCTGGCCAGCCATGGGGCAGGTAAGTGTGCCGGAAAGCATGAATGACCCTCAAACCAGACTTTCAGGAGCCTGACTACCATAAAGGCTTAGCAGGTCATCCCATACTCCTTTATCATTAAAAGGACTCAATTATTTTTATTTCGCTGGAAAGAAGGTCTACACAATACAACACTACCAGATCCTAGTGGAAGCCATTCCAGGGCAGTGTCCACAAACTGCTCCAGTTCCGAGGGGCTCTCCTCTGCACACCTGCTTGTCTCTCTCCAGGGTTCTTATATATCACATACTCTAGGTCTGGAGAGGCAAGACGGTGTCAGGGTTACGAGCATGGTCTCTGGAGCTAGATTTCTTGTTGATGTTGTTAAGTGCTATTGGGGCAGTTCCAACTGATAGCAGCCCTATGCACAACAGAACAGAAGACTGCCTGGTCCTGCGCCATCCTCACAGAAGCCAGACTATCTGGGTTCATATTCCTATCTCTGCCATTCACTGGCCATGTCACCTTGGGTGACGCACCTCTCCTCTCTGTGGCTCAGTTTCCCTATCTGTAAAATGGGACTAATGATACTACCTGCCTCATAAGGTTGATGTGAGAATTACACATTAACTCATTTAATACATGTGAAGTAGTTGGACCTCATTTAAAACACATGAAGTATTAGGAAGTCCCTGGGCGGTGCAAACAGTTACGGTTCTCGGCTGCTAACAGAATAGATAAAGGTTCAAGTCCACCCAGATGCACCCTGGAAGAAAGGCCTGACAATCTACTTCTGAAAAATCAGCCATTGAAAACCCTATGAAGCACAGTTCTACTCTGACACACTTGGGGTCACCATGAGTCAGAATCAACTCAACAACAACTGTGGGGTTTTGTTTTTGTACTGTTATTCTGGGCCTGGGTTAGGAAGGGAAAGAAGAGAATACCTAAGAAATGGTGACATCCCACAGTGTGGCTGTTAACAAACCCTCAGCATGAAAACTGCCTGGATAGAGGCTACGTCATCTTCAGAGATGGCCCAGCTCTTAGGGACCTCAATATTTGAAGAGAGAAGAGACACAGGCAGAGACTGGACTTACACGTGTGATCATCAGGGCAGATCAAAGGGCAAATACTTAACAGGGATAGACCAACTCAGTTGCCCTGGTTTGGCATTCCTCCTTCCACATAAACCAAAATATGTGGCAAAAATAGGTAAGGAAGGATGGCAAGAGGAAGGAAATCCAATTTATATGTAGAAAAAAATAAGACTTTGAAGTCTGAGAGAGACCCCCTAGGGTTTCCTTTGCACAGAAAGGAGTGAATCACTGCTTTCCAACTGACACCAAAAGAAATATCCAAAGAAGGCAAGGAGCTCTTCGGAGACTAGAAAGAAAACAGAGCAACTGCATGAAGACTCGGAGCGTGAGGCCTTTGCTCAGGGAATTCAAACATTTATGCAATTGTCAGGGCCTCTTCCTGAAGCTCAGGCTCTGCTCTGCGCAATTCCAGGGGGTGTCATTCACACAGACAACAATGCAAGCCCCAAACTTGTGCAGTGCACTATCTTTGCAACTGTACTACGTGGGAGAGAAAGAAGCAAAAGAGCTCTGATCCAAGACAAGAAGGGCTCTCAGGCCCTGGATCGTCAAGTACAAGCAGTCCCTGGGTTCCAAACGTCCAACTTACGTACAACCCATAGTTACAAACCAATCCCTGTAAAGTCTATTATATTAAAAATTCGAGGTACATACGATGGTTCATAATAACAAACGGGCTCTACTTTGTGATGCATATCAAAACACTATTATTATTATTATTATTATTATTATTATTACTGTATTATTGTGTTGAAGATATTTTAGTGTCTCTGGAAATGTTGCTTTAATGTTTTTTATGCATAGAAAGGTACATTATATACTATACACTAAGCAAACATTTGACTAACTAACGTTAGATACGAACCGTACCTGACCGACTTACGTACAAATTCGACCTAAAGACAGATTTAGGAATGGAACTGTTTGCAATCTGGGAACTGCCTGTACATTGAAGAGCCAAAAGGCCTGGCAATCTACTTCCAAAAACCAGCATATGAAAACCCTATGGATCACAGTCTGATCCATCACGGGGATGGCGCAGGACTGAGCAGCATTTCATTACATTGTGCATGGGGTCACCATGAATCGGGGCCAACTGAACAGCAGCTAACAGCAACAGCAACAAAAGAAAACAGAAGTCAATAATGGGAACTCAGATGTGTAGAGATTTCTCGTCTCCAAGCAACTCACTGAACTGCATGACTTTAGTTTCCCCTCCCAGGTTCCCAAGGTGCAACACGCTTAATGTGCGGAGACGATTCTACCATCACTCAGCCCAAAACTTGGGCCAAATTTTGCAAAATATTCCCCTACTATGAACTGAAAAAGATAAAAGCCTTGAAGGACCCAAATAACAGTATCCACTCGAGAGTTCCTTTGCAATAAATGTGCTTCTTCCCCTCAGTTTTTCTTCTACCCAACAGAAAAGCCACAAGTCAAAATTACAAAAGGACAGAGGTAGGTGAAAGGGTGATTTTTAAGTGGAAATACTCTTGCTGAAGATCAAAAATTGGATATAATCTGTGTTGGCCTAAATATAAGCAACACTTATTACATATACATACATACGTATATATACGTATAATCTATAGATTGTATATACACATACAGGATATATTGATATAATATACATATACGCAGAGTACTATTTGAAGAATTTATCCCTCCAGCTCATTAAATAAATAGAAAAGGGAAGAGGGAAGCAGATGGGGAATACCCCATTCAGAAACAACTGTCGTTCTTGTACTTCACATCCGTTCTCTTGGCACACCATGATCCCTGTTCCAACGACTTGCCACATATTCTTGAGTTGCCACCATTCTAGAGTTGCCTAGTTACCTCCAACATCCCCTCGTACAAGAAAACATTTTTTGAGCGCCAACCACAGTGGAGGGTCATCGGAAGCAAGGACAGCAGCAGGGGGAAGCGGGAAATCAGGTTCCTGAGTCAGGGCACAAGCCCAGTGCCTGTGGGTGAATTTATCTCAGTTTAATGTGATTCCACGGTATGGTGCTAAATGTGGGTGATAAGCAGTGGACAGTACAGATGGGGTCCCTGAGGCGCATTCTGGTCGAAGATGCAGACTTTAAACAGTCAGTGCAAATAAAAACGTACTAACAAACGGTGACATACTTTAGGAGAGAAAAGTGCAGGGCGCTGAGAGGGTATACCTGGGAGGGGCGGGGTGTCATGGAAGGTCATGAAACCTGACGGGTAAGAAGTTACCCAGGCAGAATTAGGAAGAAGTAGTCCAGAAAAAGACAGCAATATGTTCAAAGGCTCCAAGGCAAGAAAGACCAGAGGAGCTGTTCAATAAGGAGGAGGCAGGAGGGCTGGTTGACCCAAAGACCCTTATTATATTAAGGGAAGGAAAAACATGTTCTTATTCTTATGTCTCCTCCGCATCTCCCGTCGACCACACTTTCTAGTTATGGCACATTGACAGAAGGAAATGAAATTATTTTAGCCAATCAAGATAAGAAGAAACACTTAAGCTGCTTACTTACCTAAGACAGCAGTTAAAAATATCTCTGCTCACGCAGTGGGTATTTCTTCAGAGGGTAGCCTTGCCTTTCAAGGTTAGAATTTACTTCAGAGGTAAGAGCTTCCTATAACAAAAACAAATCCAGTAATTATATTCTTTGTAATGTAATAGAGATCAATGACCAGATATGTAGTTTCACATGTAAAGGCCTATGAATCCCATATATGCCATATATGTGGAGTTCACTATGTATATAGACATTTGTTTTGTTTTGTTTTTTTAATTTTAAAGGGATTCCATTACTTGAAAAGATCGCGAATTAACAAGACAAAGCCAACGACTTTGAAAAGACGAAGGAAAATAATTCACCACCCCCATCGTTAGGGCAATGAATTTATTCATTTGTAAGTGTCATTCTATAAATCTACGATATGTCAGCCTTTAAATAAGTCAAGGTAACCAATTCAACTACATGGTATGGCTGAAGCCAGCCGCTAGCAGCACTGTTAGTTAACTCTTCCTTTGAATTCTTTTGAAATGGTGAAAGGTCACTAGGCTAATTGCTGTACATCTGCAGCAGACTCAAAGTACTGGGTATACCTATCTATGGTATACCCTATAGAAATATTCCCCCACCCTCATGAAAGTCAAACAGTCAAAAACACTTTATTAAATTTTAGAAAAACATTCTTCCATGTTGTGGCCTTACACAGACCACAAGCACAGCTGAGTCCGTCTCTGGACGGGGTTCCAGTGTGTAGCAGCAGGGAAAGATACTGAGGGCCAGCTAATGAGGGCCAGCAAGACTGTCTTTGCTCAGTCCTTTGAAAGCATGGTTGTCATGGACTGAATTGTGTCCCCCAAAAATATGTATTGAAGACCTGGTCCCTATACCTGTGGATGTGATCCTGCTTGGAAATATGAGTTTTCTTTGGTTTGTGTCTTAGTTATCTAGTGCTGCTATAACAGAAATACTACCAGTGGATGGTCTTAATAAACAGAAGTTGCTTCTGTCATAGTCCAGTAGGCTAGAAGTCCAAATTTAGGGTGTCAGCTCCAGGGAAGGCTTTCTCTCTCTGTTGGCTCTGGCAGAAGGTCGTTGTCATCAATCTTCCCCTGGACTAGGAGCTTCTCAGCACAAGGACCCCGGGTCCAAAGGACTCACTCTTCTCCTGGCACTACTTTCTTGGTGGTATGAGGTCCCCTGTCTCTCTCCTCACTTCTTTTATATCTCAAAAGGGATTGATTTAAGACACAACCTAATCTTGTAGATCAAGTCCTGCCTCATTAACATTACTGCCTCTAATCTGGCCTCATTAACATCATAGACGTAGAATTTACAACACATAGGAAAATCACATCGATGACAAAATGGTGGACAATCATACAAAACTGGGAATCACAGCCTCGCCAAATTGATACACATTTTGGGGGGACACAATTCAATCCATAACAATTTGTAAATGAAGTCATACCAAAGCAGAGTGGATCCTAAACCCAATCACTTCTGAGTTATACAAAAAGCAGAACAGATATGGAGACACACGAAGGGGGAAGACAAACATCATGTGAGGCTCATCTACAGGCCAAGGAACCAGCAGACTCCAGACACTGGGAGGGAGGCTCACAGAAGAAAGGGACACAACTGAGAGCCTGCTTGGACTTTTAGCCTCCAGAACTATGAGAAAATACACTTCTGTTCTTTAAAGCCACCCATTTGTGGTATTTTTGTGGCAGCACTACCAAACTAAGATGACCATGCTCTCTCCCTCCGCAGGACTCCTGATGGATGCTTGCTCTGCTCCAAATCAGCTGCTCTTCATCCTTCAGTCTCAGCTGGACTGTCTCTTCCTCAGGAAAGCCTGCCCTGACTCAACCAAGTCAAATACCCCTATCATACACTCTCAGGACACCACGCACCATCATTTGTAACCATCACCATTTTATATTTATTTCTGTGGCTACATGATTAATGGCTGTCTTCCCCACTAGCCTGTAAATTCCAGTTCCCATTAGTATTTTGTCAGCAAAGTTCGTGTTTGATCCGAGGCCCTTACCTTGGTTTGGTTTGGCTGTTGAGCTCTGTGGGATGTCAGAAGACTGCATACTCTCTCATGGATCTTCTTCCACATGGACTGAAAACTAGGGTGGAACCTGCCCAACAGAGTAAACAGAATGGAGTGTTATGTAGCTACTAAGTAGGATACTTAGGGCATATAACAATATGTGTTATCTGTAACTTAACAGTAACAAAAAACAGCAACATGCAAAATGGCACACAGTGTGATTTCAATGTCTTTCTTATCCTACTTATAGGAAAATTAAGGGAACTAAAAACAACCAAGATGCTAAGAATGGTTTAGTTTAGGTATATGGCTATGAGTGATTTTTTTTCTTCCTTTTACTGTGCTTTTCATATGTTCCTCTAATGAACAAACGCTGCTTTAACTTTTAAAAATTTAATCTAGAAAATTTAATACAAAATTTAACCCCATCTGTTTTCCACTACAGGGATTAGAGAGCCCTGGTGGCCCGGCTGCTACCCTAAAGATCAGCACTTCGAATCCAACAGCTGCTCCTTGGAAACCCTAGGGGGCAGTTCTACTCTGTCCTGTGGGTCACTATGAGTTGGAATCGACTCGATGGCAATGGGTTTAAAGTGAGTATATTTTATATTGCATTTATTTTAGGCACCTCAGACCCAACTTAATCACAAGACTTACACTGCCTTTCAGTTCCTCAAACATTGAGCATTTTCTCCGTTCCATAAGGCGATCAACTTTAGAAAAATCAGCCACTGAAAACCCTGTGGAGCCCAGTTCTATTCTGACACACAAAGGGTCATCATGAGTCAGAACTGACATGACGGCAATTGGTTTGGTTGTTTTTTCTTAACAAGGATTTTGCCAATACTGTTCCCTCTATCCAGAATGCTGCCACCCACAATCCCCATCCCTACTCTTGTAAACCCTACCCACCCTTCAGATGGCGGTTCAGATATGGACTTCTCAGGAAAGTCCTTCCTGAACCCCCTCCTAGAGAGGAAGTCAACGTTCCCATCATCTGCACCTGGAGTTCCATTCACCCCTCATTCAGAGGACTTCCTCCAGTGGATGTTCTGTCATTATTTGGTTAATATCTGCTTTACTCCTAGACTGAAATTTTCATGAGGGCAGGGACTGTGCCTTTTTGGTTAATAGCTCATCCCAGGGTCTGGCAGGTATTAAATACCACAACAGGTATTCAATAAACATTTGTTGAGTGATTGAATGAATGAATAAATTCATTCATATTTGGGATGGAAAAACCCAGAAAACAAACCCATTGCCATCGAGTTGATTCCGACTTATAGTAACCCTGTAGGACAGAGTAGAACTGCCTCATAAGGTTTCCAAGGAGTGGCTGGTGGATTCAAACTGCTGACCTTTATTGTTAGCAGCCATAGCTCTTAACCACTGTGCCACCAGGGCTCCATTCAGGGTGGGGGGAGTACCAAATCCTAAATTCTGAAGTATAACTAAGCGAAAAGTGTACATAGCAATGTGATAATGAAAACTATGGGCACTGTTTTCTAAAAATGCCTGAAGAATTTGGATGAAATCATTCTCTTCAATGAATGTACAATAAACACTGGAAATGATGGGGACGTTTCAGTAATCCACTTGTCATTCTGGCGTGCCCCACCAATGCCCTCCTGTGCAACTGCCATGCTGCTCGGTCCTAGGCCCACTCCCGAACCACCCATCCCTCCTCACTCTGTAACAAACATGTCCCATCGGTTTCCAGGGAGACGAGACCAAGAGTACAACTGGATTTACACAAGCCCATTACCACCCGCAGGAAAACAACTCCTTCGGCTCTGTGACTAATGCTGCAATGAACACTAGTGAACAAGCATCTGCTGAGTCCCTGCTTTCAAGTCTTCTGGGTATCTACCTAGCAGTGGAATTGCTTTTAATTGTACTTCTATTAAATGGGTCGTCTGTCAGTTTGTCGTACTGTGGGGGCTTGCGTGTTGCTATGATGCCAGAAGCTATGCCACTGGTATTTCAAATACCCGCAGGGTCACCCATGGTGGACAGGTTTCAGCAGAGCTTCCGGACTAAGACAGACTAGGAAGAAGAACCTAGTGGTCTACTTCTGAAAAAATTGGCCAGTGAAAACCTTATGAATGGCAGTGGAAAATCATCTGATATAGTGCCAGAAGATGAGCCCCTCAGGTTGGAAGGCACTCAAAATACAACTGGGGAAGACTGCCTCCTCAAAGTAGAGTTGACTTTAATGATGTGAATGGAGTAAAGCTTTCGGGACCTTTATTTGCTGATATGGCCAGACTCAAAATGAAAAGATACAGCCACATTTTACTTGGATCCACAATTAACACCCTTGGAAGCTGCAGTCAAGAAATCAAATGACGTACTGCATTGGGCAAATCTGCTGCAAAAGATCTCTTTAAAGTGATAAAAAGCAAAGATGTCACTTTGAGGACTAAGGTGCACCTGACCCAGGCCATGGTATTTTCAATTGCCTCATATGCATGCAAAAACTGGACAATGAATAAGGAAGACTGAAGAAGAATTGATGCCTTTGAATTACAGTGTTGGTGAAGAATACTGAATATACCATGGACTACTAGAAGAATGAGCAAATCTGTCTTGGAAGAAGGACAACCAGAATGCTCCTTAGAAGCAAGGATGGTGAGACTTCATCTCACATACTTTGGACATGTTATCTGGAGGGGCTAGTCACTGGACAAGGACATCATGCTTAGTAAAGTAGAGGGTCAGCGAAAGACAGGAAGACCTTCGACGAGATGGATTGACACAGTGGCTGCAATGATGGGCTCAAACACAGCAACGATGGTGAGGATGGCGCAGGACTGGGCAGTGTTTGTTCTGTCGTACCATAGGATCACTATGAGTCAAAACTGACTTGAGGGCACCTAACAACAACTACATATAAACACAGCACATGGACAGAAGCCAAGGGCTTTCCCCAGTCTCATGGCAGAGAAGCCCTTTGTAGCTGTAAGAGGATGGACCTTTGATTGCCATATCCAAGACCCATTTCCCCATTTTACAGATGAGGAAACTAAGGTCTACAGAAGTTGAGTATTTGTTTGCAATCACATAGCACAAGTCTCCTCACAACCACTCGTTGAAGTTTCTTTCTACTCCTTGTTTAAAAATCAATTCTTTAAATCCAGTTTTTAAAAATCAGTCTTTAAATCCAGGCTAACCCCCACCCCCACCTCCACTTTGCCAACCTGCTGGGTTCTAGGCTTGTGGCAAGAGAAAAGAGGGGAAGGAATGGGGTCAGGCACAGAGAGAGGCATAAATGTGTCCCCAGCCACCCGCCTCTGTGGACCAAAGCTGAATTTAACCATTTCTTGTTGTCTGCTTTTTATCTATGTTGTGTTATTTTCTTCCAGTATCGCAACTGATGAAGAATTCCCCATACGTTAATAGATTTTATTCAAATATTTGATTTGGTTTCCTCAAGTCCATGATCTAAACATTTTACTATCAAGTTATTCTATCGCTTCTGAACAACACTTAGAGTAGATTGTCACTTTCCTAGTCTACCTCACATTTGCTCTCCACTCCTTGAAAAGTTCAGGGCCACTTTTGTTCCGGAATTTCTCCATGAGTCCCTTTATGAACAATTGTGTTGTTTTGATATGGGGATTTCTCTTTTTATTCTCATCATGAATAGTGCAGAGAAAAGCAGACAGTCATATCCTTCATTCACAATAGCTGTCTTAAAATATCTTCAGTGGCACTTCCCGGGAGTTACGGTGACCAACCATCCTGGTTTGCCCAGGACTGAGGGTTTGCCAGGATACAGGACTTCTCAGGGCTAAAATAGAAACAAACCAAACCCGTTGCCTTCAAGTCGTTCCGACTCCTTGCGACCCTATAGGACAGAGTAGAACTGCCCCATAGGGTTTCCAAGGCTGTAATCTTTACGGAAGCAGACTGCCACATCTTTCTCCCGTGGAGCATCTGGTGGGTTCAAACCGCCTACCTTTCAGCTAGCAGCCGAGTGTTTAACCACTGCACCACCAGGGCTCCTTAAAATAGGGACAGTCCCATGCAAACAAGATCGGCTGGTCACCTTACTGGAGTGTGTAGTTTGGTTTAAAAAAAAAGGTTCCTGCTGTCAGTCTCTGGTCTGCCCTCAAGACACATGCAAACATGATTTGCAGTGTGACAATAATGTAAACAAACAGGGAAAACCATGTTTAGAAAAAGAGAAATAATATATACCTACATGTTAATGTTTGTCTTTGGGCTGTAGGACTATGGGTGATTTTTTTCACTCCTTCTTTTTCTGTAATTTCCAAACTTTCAATAGTGAGCCCTTTTATACTGAGGAAATCAAAAGCTTAATTTTTTTTAACGTATGACTGATAAAAATGGGTAGCTAACGAGTATCCATGCCAAAGTGCAACCAGTCGTCACGGAGTCCACTCCAACTGGGTCGCTCAGCAGCCCCGTGTGTGTCAGAGTAGAATGTGCTCCATTCTCAACAGCTGATTTTTCTGAAGCAGATTCCTAGGCCTTTCTTCAAATAAATAGTATCTATGCAGCACAGTGCTTAAGCGCTCGGCTGCTAACTAAAAGATCGTCAGTTCGAACTCACCAGCTGCTGCTCCCATAAAGACTGCAGCCTTGGAAAGATGTGGCTGTCTGCTCCCATAAAGATTACAGCCTTGGAAACCCTATGGAGCAATTCTACTCCATCCTGTAGGGTCTCTATGAGTCGGAATCGGCTCAATGGCAATGGGTTCGGTTTTTCTGCAAAAGTTGGAGTCCCTGGCTGCTGCAAACAGTTTAGACTTGCTTTTTCCCAGAGACTCCAAGGGTGGTGCAAATGGTTAACTCAGTCAGCTACTAACCAAAAGGTTGGAGATTTGAGTCCATGCAGAGGCATCTCAGAAGAAAGGCCTGGCAATCTACTTCTGAAAAACCAGCCATTGAAAACCCTGTGGAGCACTGTTCCACTCTGACAAACAAGAGGTCACCATGAGTCAGAATCGACTTGACAGCACTGGTTTTATGTGCCGAAGTCAGTTGTCTGTCTTATTTTTAACCAACAGATCCCAAGATAGGCCTTCCATCAGCAAAGAAAAGGCTCAACTCTGGCTTTTCGATAGATTTTAAAAAGCAATAATCACATTTTCATACCAAGGCGTCCCAAGCTGAATATCCCTAAGAAAGCAAACACGAGAAGTGACCCGACTTTACTCCGGCCACACCACCACACGCTCTGCAAGCAAGGATGGCTGCTCGCTGCTCACCTTTCTCGGAGAAGGGGCTGATCCAGAAGCGGGCTGGGTGACCTGGAATACTGGGAGGTGGCAAATGAAGTTTTCCGGTGGAAATCGGCATCCCCTTGGTTACTGTCACTGGGCAAGGGCTTTTCAAACTTACTTGAATCTAAAGGTGATGGCGAGTCGTTCCTGAAAACAATCCGCTCATCTGGCTCTTTGATAACCTGAATAACAATATGCATTATACTTCAGCTGCAGTTTTGTTTCCTTTGCTTAATTTAAAGTCAGGGAGATTAGGGGCAAGATGACTCTCTGCCCCAGAGATCTCCTGCAAATAAAAGACGGATGTAGAGAAGACTGGAGCCAACCTTCTTGGGAGTCCAAGTCAAGGAACAACAAGCAACATTACACCACAAAATTCCTTATGCTTGGCATTTATTAACGAGCCAAAGAGACCCATACTCTCAACTTTGATTTTTGAGGTTTGGGGATTATTCAGTTTAGGAAAGATATCTTTATTTATTTTTTTAACAAAACACTTAAAAGTTATGGCCTACGAAGCAAAGTATACTCAATTTTCTTTGCACACATATATTCCTGTGTTGTAACACTTAAGTTTGAACCTTCATCTTGACAAAACAATCAAACTTTAAGAACTACGTGATTTACCACCCCCATGTCAAAAGATACTTGATTATAGGAAAAGCAGTGGAAATCACTACTAGTAAAATAGGTATCCCACCACCCATCTGTCAGTTTGTCTCACTGTGGTGGCTTGCATGTTGCTATGCTGCTGGAAGCTGTGCCACCAGTATTTCAAATACCAGCAGGGTCACCCATAGTGGGCAGGTTTCAGTGGCGCTTTCAGACTAAGAGAGACTAGGAAGTAAGCTCTGGCAATCTACCTCTGAAAATTAGCCCATAAAAACCTTATGGATCACAACAGAATACTGCCCAACTTGTTTGCTTTGCACACGTCATTAGGAGGGACCTAGAGGAAGACATCATGTTGGTGACATAGAGGGCCAGCGAGGATGACAGAGACTCTTAGTGAGATGGATTGGCACAATAACTGCAACAATGGACTCGAACATGCTGGCAATTGTGAGGGTGACGTAGGACCGGGCAACGTTTCGTTCTGTTGTACGTAAGGTTGCGATGAGTCCAAGTTGACGCAACAGCACTACCAACAACAAAGAAGGTATTGGGCCTACATATACCCACACTGGAGATTCATCCTACATATGTATAGAGCTTATACCTGGGGAATGAACCAACCAACCCCAAAGCCAAGTATAGAGTGGAGCCCAGACGCCCCTTAAACGCTAATTAAACTAACAGTTCCATGAGCAGCACTAACTGGAAATGTATCTTTCCACCACTGATTGCCAAAAACACAATAATTGACATAAGAGAGCTGGAAATAAATCGTTTTACAAATGCTATTTCTAAAATTACCTTGACGTTAGCTGCAAGGCTGTCAAGAGAAGAAGCTAGAAGAAAGAGGAACAGGTGTTTCAATGACTCATTATTACCAGTTGCCCCTAAAACTGCTGTTACATTTATTCCACAGCAGCACAAAAATATTAGACAACGATGCAATTATTAAAGAATTTAAATGCTCCCTTGTAAATTGCACTATCACTTTTATGTCTCCCTTGAGACACAGCAATTTGAACTATGGGTTTTTCTGTCCTTTTTTGGGTCAACAATGAGCATTATATTAATGACATAGTCTAACGTGAAACAAGTTCTGTGACCCTCAGGCATTCAGGAAAACTAACATTTGCCCAGGTGCCCACAGCCTAGAAGAAGGCAATGTGGGTCTGAGAAAATTCATATACTCTGCCTCTTCTGCTATTCCCTTGACATTTTGTTCTCCTGGAATCCTATTTATGCAGGAACTCTTGCGTGTTCTTGTCCATGGTAGACACAAATGTTAAATTGAGACAATTTAATTCACAAGAGCTTGGAGGAACATAATGCAGCAAAAATGTAAATCATTAAGGTTAGCATAGATAATCATAATTAGAAAGTAGACCTAATGCCAGAGAATGGTAAAGATAACTAGGAAGTGAAGTAATAAATACACACAGACAAGACCAAGACTAAATTGGATGGTTCTAGGTTGAAAAAAAAAAGATTTGAAATGAGTATTTGCAAAACTATGCTAAGGCAACACAGCTTCCCCAGTGTGAGTGCAGCTTAGGCAGGGAAAAGCATCCTCCAGGCCATTGGTAGTAAGAAGGAAGACGTAAAAGGGATTTCTCATATCAACTGGGCATGGACAGATGTGTGTGCCCAGAGTCTCTTTTCTCTCCCCATGCCCAGTTGGCAGGGAAGCAGTGATGCTAAAGCCCTTTTCAGCCACAGCCACAAACCTGCCCTGTGGCCTAGTAGCCACCTTGGTCCCGGTTCTGAGCAGCTTTCACAGGGTGCTTGCCTTCATCCCCTTTCTTCTCAAAATGCCAATGGACCCGCCATGGACCAGCAGCATCAGTATCACCTGGAAGCTTGCTAGAAATGAAGAATCCCAGGCCCCACCCGAGCCCCCATCCTAGGCCTACTGAATCAGAATCTGCAGTTGAACAAGATCCCCAGGTGATTCAAATGCACATTCAAGCTGGAGAAATCCAAAAAAAAACCCATTGCCACTGAGTCCAACTCATAGTCTACAGGACAGACTAGAACTGCCCCATAGGGTTTCCAAGGAACGGATTTTTTTGTTGTTGTTGTTGTTTTTCGCAAAAACCTACACTCTGGAACCTCAGCTCTCCACCTGCCAAGGTTAAGAAGGGACAGAGACCTAGACCAATGTGATATCTGAGTCCCATCATCACTGAGCCAGCTTTAAGCCCTACTTATCTTCCCTGGGAAACACATCTGGCTGTTGCTTGATTTCGCAGTAATACGAGACAGTGACGCTTTTATCTGCAGCACGAATGATTTTCAATTAAGTGTCAGAAGTGATGAAACACTTTCTGCTTCAAACTCTGCACTCTATCCTTAGCCGGCTGCTATCAAACAGTCACCAATACCCAAGACCACTGGCTTGAGGGATCACATAAGACTGTGCAGTCCCTTAAAAATATAAACCTTTACACCTAAAGTGGGAACCTTGTTGTCAGGGCTGCTACAGGTCCAGTCGTACCAGGAGGCAAGGCAATGGACCACCAGCATTCCTTCTCATCGGAGAATTTTGATTAACTCCAGGAATGGTTGAACTTGACTGCCTGCCGACGTGGTTCATGCATTTCAACCACAAGCTAATAGTCTCCGAGAGATGCCTTAACCCAGTGCCTCTCAATGTGTGGCCCAGGGACCTCCCCAGGGTTCCCCAAGACCCTTTCAGGAGATCCCCGAGGTCAAAACTGTTTTCATGATAATACTAAGACATAATTTGCCTTTTTCACTCTCATTCTCTCATGAACGGAGCAAATGAGAATGGAGCTTCCCAGACATTACACACCGTGTGATGATGACCCCACTCTGATGGCTAGTGCAATGTGTGCTTGTGCTTTCTTGTACTTTTTAAATGTCTCAGTTTTAATTTCTAATATGTTAAATATCGATAGATATAACAAAAGTCCTTATTGAAAGGTAACAAAAGTCCTTGGGGTCCTCAATATGTAATATTTAAGAATGCAAAAGAGTGCTGCAGCCTGGAAGATTGGGATCCACTGCCTTAACCTAACTGCTCCAGAGAGGCTGGCTCCCCTCCCCGCCAACATGGAACCTTGTAAAACAAACATATGTCTGCTGCTCTCCACCCAGCCTCTGCTCTTTCCCATCCAGAAAATGGCTAGGCTTGTTTGTTAGCTACCAGTGGTGCCTTGGCAAGGAGTTCACACCAGAGTAAAGCTCCTCTTCTCTGCTTTTCCAGCCCAGCCAGGGAGCCACTTCAACCTCTGCATGCTCAATTAGCAACACTACTCAGAATAGTCCTTCCATACCGAGGGGAACTCTCAAACGGAGACCTTCTGACTCTGCTCCGTGGGCACGCCTCCCTGGAAACTCCACAGCTGTAGACTACTTGAGAATTAGGCCCACAGTTTCCAAAGCAACTTGTGATTCCTCCAAATGAAAGAAGATTTAGAAGTAGGATACATAAGTTTCCATACACAAATGTACAGAAGAAACTTAAGTACCTCTTCTCACTGGAAATGGAAAGTTTGACAACTTGCACTTTCTTCTAGACTTTCGGGAATGATGCTCTGAAATAGTCTCACCAAAGGGCTTTGCACTGTCCACCTGAAGGTAAAGGAAAGAAACAAGACTTGAATGTGCCCTAGCTAGTATTACCAGTTGCCACTGAGTCGATTCCAATTCATGGTGACCCCATGCGTGTCAGAGTAGAACTGTGCTCCATGGGGTTTTTGTTCTGTTGCGCATGGGGACACCAGGAGTAGAGGGCCACCTTGATAGCAGCTAACAACATCATATTTAGATATTACATTCTATTAATAATTTTCAAAAATCAAAAATAGAGATGGGTGATGATCTTTGAGCAAGTCTTCTCTATTAGACATCTTTATAGACATCTGGCATCGACGCTAGGAAACGAACATAATTTAATCTATGATGATGCGTAAGTTACAAGAGAGAGACTGGTATGGTGGAAAGAACACAGGTCAGACAATTGTGCTCGCATCCTGGCTCTGCTATTTGCCAGGTGGTGCGCGCTTGCCCAAGTTCATCCGTGTTTCCCCCCCGTAAAGTGGAGACAATGTTCCACCTTCACTCTTGCCCTCCCCATTCCAAACGACCCTGAAAAATGATTTGAGGCTCACGTGTCTAACTACAAACGGAGGTTTGATTTCTCTGGAGATTTTGAAACTATTTCCGAAGTTCAAGTGAGTTGGCTGGTCCTGGGAGAGACGCCTGGTGGGATATGGGGGGGGCGCCCGGGACTGGGGGCCTCGGGGCGTCCTGTCGGGATTATTTTCCTTGGGCTTCATCTTTATGCTGTTTCGGGGGAACATTGGTCCAGGTGATGTAGATAAACGCCTTTGCCAATAAAGTCTGTCTTCCTAAAACCAAAAAGGAAGAATATTCTTAAAAAGGAAATTTAAAAATAAATAAAGTTCCATCAAAATATAACTGCATTTAGTTGATTTTCTTTAACTAAGGGACAAGATTGAACATCTCAGATTTATAAAAAATAAACTTAAGGAAGTGAATTTTTTTTCCAGTTCAGTCAGCTTAACATAATTTACTAGTATTTATAACTTGCTAGAATAATATGTTTCATTACAGTGATATGTATTTGTATTAGGGGAAAGTTGGAAAGTATCAGACACATCCCTTCACTCTAGCCATAAATAAATAAATAGGTAGGTAGGCAGATGAAAGAAAGGAATGACAAAAGGAAGGCAAGGGGAGAGAAAAAGAGGAAGGAAAATAATTTGGCATATTCTTGAGTCTAGTAATTTTACTTCAAAGGATGTATGTATTAAAAGGAAATAATCATGACTATGTGTGTAGCACAGAGCCCTGGTGGCGCAGTGGTTAAGAGCTCAGCTGCTCACCAAAAGGTTGGCAGTTCAAATCCACCAGATGCTCCTTGGAAACCCCATGTGCCAGTTCTACTCTGTCCTATAGGGTTGCTATGAGTAGGAATCGACTCGACAACAATGGGGTTTATGTGTATAGCTATAAAAATGATTGTGATAGTTGAAAAATTGGAAACCATCTGTCTTGGCAAGCAAACAATTGCCTCTCAGCTCCAAACCCACCCTTCTACAGCCAGCTTTAAGATATCGGGGCTGGCCTTCCGCACACCCATTTCTGCTTTTCCAGCTGTCCCCCCTGCCCCCCACCCCCGGAAGCCTCTGCCAGTAGAGGGCGCTAGAGGAGGACCGCAAGGCTAGAGGGGGACGAACAGACTGGCTCCTTCCAGTTTTGCATTCTGTTCCTGCCAACATCACCTCAGGAACCACTCTTCACCTTGGCAGCAGCAAATGGTTCCAGTTGAGTTTGTTTGGTGTTTTTCATACTCTCAGAACTGGCCTCCTTGAGTCCCCCCGGACACCAGTACCAGCCGGCCAGAGACCTCTCCTCAGAGATCTGGATCTAGCCCCACAGGATCCTTCCTCCAAACTCCTGAGGCACCAGCGGTGAGCACTGAGCAGTGCCGCTCCTTAGAGATCCGAGCTCCAGCCCTGCAGAGTCTCCTCTGAATTCCTGAAGTACCAGCACACCCAGGAAGCAGCCCCTCCCTAGAGGTTTGGGCCCATTTCCGTGGGGCCCCTCCAAGCATCGACATTCTTGAAGACCCCAACCTTGTCCCTTTGTTCCCGCAGCCCTAGGGGTGGAAGCTGCTTCCTGCAGTTACTGTCTCTGTCACCTCAGTGTTCCCCTTTCACCTGTCAGCCTTTCAGACCCTGTTCTACCACTTTTTTACGTTAAATTTTTCCTGTTAAAATAACTGGTGTGGTTTGTTTTCCTGACTGATAGAGCAATTAAATGCCCCTAAAAAGGAAAATGATTGGTCAAACAAATTTTGGTACTGCCATACAATGGAATACTATGAAGTCATAAAAAATTGCATAAGAATACTTAAGGACACAAGAAAATGTTCATGATATATTAAGTGAACAAATAAAGATAGAAAATAACAGGTGTAGTATGATCCCAGCCTGTTAAGATGAAGAAAGTGTGTGGGGGGAGGGAGGTGTAATACAGAACGATATACACTAAAAAATTAGCCAAACTCATCTCTAGATGGTAGGAATTACAGTTGATTTTTATTTTGTTCTTTTTGATTGTATTTTCTAACTTTCTAAAATGAGTGTGACAGTTTTGTTATAATAAACAAAGAAGTTATTATTACAAATTAACATTTAAACGAATACCCATATTAGGAGGTTAAAACAAGATTAAAGTGGTGGGAGAGAAAGAAAGATAGGCTGAAGAATACCCAGGCACACACATCAGAGAGACTGGAAAAAAAAGAAGGTGAATAAGGAGAGATGAAAAACAGGTAGTGCCTTTCTTAAAATTATTAATTACTCCTCTGTTATATGAGTTCTTATGCCCAGAGGAATGATAGATTTCCTCAGCTTAACGACCCTTGTTATCATTCAGTACCCTTACCCCACAGCCTACATTTTCAAGGTATTTTCCAGAAGCTTGGGCATGATTTGGGATGACAAGCATTTTGTTTTCACTTACTAATTTTACTCTATCTTGTTCCAAAAGTATTTGCTGAAGCTTTATAAAGTGCATTCATTCATTCTCCATCTTGTTCTAGAAAGGATTTTAAATGGCTACAAAGTGAAGTACAGTAAGGTAAAAGAAATCAGGGTGAAGGGGACATTAGGGTTGGACAAGAGAGTGAAATGGAGGTGGAGTGCAGGGATGCCCTAAGACCCTGTGCAGTGTCAAAAACAACCCACAAATTCAACTCTGAGCTTTAGCAAGAGAAAGAAGGAAACATGATTATTCATACGATCAACAGTAGATGCCTTGGAGCAACAACCACAAAAAGGCTAACTAGCCTACTTGGGTCAAACTTGTGACTTTAGCTTCTGGATCACGCTGCTCCGCCAACCACACGGTGCTGAACACACAGCAAACATACTTACTCTAATTCACAATCTGGCTGAGCAAATCATTTGAGTATAGTAATTCAAATCTAGCACAAAGTCTCCAGGTTTCTGTGCACCCAGTTACATCCAAACTTGGTAAACTGAGTTTGGACTGAAATTCCTTAAATTTGTGGATAAAAGTCCTGTCATTTCTATCCCCGGCTTCTCAATTATACTTACAAGAAATCTGTTTCTATGCAGGCACGCACGTTCTCTGATGGCTGTCCTTGTAGAAAACTCTAATTTGGGAGAAATACCCTAAAAATAAAACAGCATAAAAGAAGCAAGTAAAAGTACTGGAAACAGGTTCTTTGTCCATCCCATGCTAAGCTGAAATCACTCAAGACCTAACTGCTCTTCTGTTTGACTGGCATAATCCACATGCATTATACATAGTAAGAAGAGCAAACATTTACGTAGTATGACGTACCAGGCCCTGTCCTAAGTACTTTGTGTATATTAACTTATCTAATCCTCACAACAACCCCAGGGATAGGTCCTAACAGTATCCCCATTTGGTCGATGAGTATACTAGGACACAGAGTTCAAGTAATTTGCCCAACTAGTCATGACAGGGAGTCCTTGGGTGGTGCAAATGGTTAACACATTGGCTGCTGTCTTAGTTATCTAGTCCTGCTATAACAGGAATATCACAAATGGATGACTTGGACAAATATAAATTTATTATCTCACAGTCTGTTGTTGTTGTTGTTAGGTACTGTCAAGTTGGTTCTGACTCATAGCGACCCTGTGTACCACAGAACGAAACACTGCCCAGTCCTGCTCCATGCTCACAATTGTTGTTATGCTTGAGCCCACTATAGCAGCCACTGTGTCAATCCATCTTGTTGAGGGTCTTCCTCTTTTTTGCTGACCCTGTACTTTACCAAGCATGATGTCCTTCTCAAGGGACTGATCCCCTCTGACAACATGTCCAAAGTATATAAGACATAGTCTCACCATCCTTCCTTCTAAGGAGCATTCTGATTGTACTTCTTCCAAGACAATCTCACAGTCTAGTAGGCTACAAGTCCAAAATCAGGGTGCCAGCTGCTCCAGGAGAAGGCTTTCTCTCTCTGTCAGCTCTGGGGGAAGGTCCTTGTCATCAATCTTCCCCTGGTATAGGAGTTTCTCAGCAGAGGGACCCCAGGACTAAAGGACGCACTCTGCTCCTGGCACTTTTTTCTTGATGGCATGAGGTCCCTCTCCTCTCTGCTCACTTCTCTCTTTTATATCTCAAAAGAAATTGACTCAAGATACAACCTAATCCTATAGATTGAGCCCTGACTCACTAACATATCTGCCTCTAATCCTGCCTCATTAACATCACAGAAGTTAGGATTTACAACACATAGGATAATCATATCAGATCACAAAATGGTGGACAACCACACAATACTGGGAATCATGGCCTAGCCAAGTTGATACACAATTCAATCTATAACAACTACTAACTGAGAGGCTGGAGGTTGGAGTTCACCCACAGGCACCTTGGAAGAAAGGTCTGGCAATCTATTTCCAAAAAATCAGCCATTGAAAATCCTATGGAGCATAGCTCTACTGTGACACCATAAGTCAGAGTCCACTTGGAGACAACTGGTTTTAGTAATGACAGAGCTGGTATTTGACCCCTGGCATTCTGGCTCCAGCATCCATCTTGTTAGTTACTCTATTTAAAACACTGGTCCATGCAATTGGATGAGATTACCTAGAGAGAAAGTTCTCCTTGCCTACCTACTTGCTTTGAAAAACTTCCTTTGTCTTATATCAAATATTTGTTTATTAGATCTATTTCTAAACTCTGTTTCTGTTTGTTTGTTTCATTGATCAGTATTTCTCTATTTTCTCAGTACCATATTGTTGCTTTATAATACATTCTGATGATATAGGGCTAGACCACCATTTTATCATAATAAAAACAGAAATTATTGTCTGTTTATATTTCCATGTAAATTGTAGGTGCTTTTTGTCAAGATGAGGTTTCTCTCATTTTCGCTAACCCTTTACTTTACCAAATATGACAATTGATCTTTCCTGATGACACGTCCAAAGTAAGCGAGCTGAAGTCTCATCATCTTCACTTCTAGGGAACATTCTGGTTGTATTTCCTCTAAGACTGACTTGTTCATTTTTCTGGCAGTCCACGGTATATCCACTATACCGTGAATATTCAATATACCTTCAATATATTACAAATATTCAATATACCCTCAATGAGACAGATTGACACAATAACCACAACAATAGATTCAAACATACCAACAATCATGAAGACGGTGCAGGACTGAATAACATTCTGTTACATGTAAGGTCACCATAAGTCAGAGCTGACTCGCAACTAACAACAACATCTTTTAAGCTATAGCTTAAATATAACTTAATTGCAAGAATTAATATTTTACCTCTAGTGCAGAAGGAATAATGGGATCTTTCCAGCAATTTTAAGCCCTTTCCCTGGTAATTAAGGAGCACTGGTGGCTCAGTGGTTAAGCGCTCGGCTGCTAACTGAAACCCACCAGCTGCTCCATGGGAGAAAGATGTGGCAGTCGGCTTCCATAAAGATTACAGCCTTGGAAACCCTGTGGAGCAGTTCTACTTTATCCTATAGGGTCACTATGAGTTTGAATCGACTCGATGGCAATGGTTTTTTTTTTTTTTTCTGTAATTAGCTGCATTTATTCTTGCCTATAAACACAACTCCTATAGGTTCTTCTTCCTCTTTATGCCCATAGAGTTAAACAAAGATAACACTCCGAGAAATATGAGCAATTGTGTTTCTCCTTGTCTTGATACTTCCTGGGTACCAGCCCAGTGTTTGTAGATGGCTTTTATTTAGCAGAAAACTCAACCAAACCACAGTGAGTATCCTCAGTCTTTTTCCCCTTTTAGCATCTAAAGAGCAACAGCCCAATAACCCCAAATAATATAGGTGAGCATTTTATTTGTACCATAGATTTAAGTGACATACACAGAACAACTCTGAGAAAAAAACGGGTTCGGTGACAGTCACCAAACCCACAAAGATAATGGAGGGCTTAAAGTGACGGTCATGGGGAATTCTGATTAGGTACACCTTTGATGAATGCTTGCTGTTTGATGTATTAGAATTAGAAACTCTGTCATTGTAAGTGTCACAGAAACAAGATCCCTGCATGTTATATGTTCCATGTAAGTGACATAAAAGTCAAGAAACTCTCAGAGTTGCTGCAGAGATTTAAAAAAAAAAAAAAAAAATCGCAGATAACATCAAAATGAAGACTTTGGGTTCAGTTCAGATATTGCCCTCCAAACAGCTAGACCATCAACTGAATATCTGCTGTGTCTTTTTAAGATCCTTCAGTAATATCAGGTTGTCTGTTAACTTCCCCTCTGTTAAATGGGGACCATAATAACTGCCTTGGCTAACCTGAGAATTCTTATGAGGACAATGAGATATTGTGTGTGAAAACTGAAAGCACAAAATAAATGAGAGATGGCATTATTACTATTACTACTCTGCTCTGCTGCTATTATTACTAAAATAATAGCCATGACTAAATAAACAGATAATATCAAATTTGTTGATCTGCATTAAACGGAGGTCAAAAAAAAAAAAAAAAACAATGCATGATGATATGAATATAGCAACGATTTAGTCTGATTAGATAAGGCTCTCACCTCTCAGATCAACCGTGGGAATAATTTAGTATCTTGAGTTGAGCATCTAAACAAGGCTAACACTACCACTGGTGGCTGTCTAGTTGACTCATGGCGATCCCATGTGTGTCAGAGTAGAACTGGGCTCCACAGGATCTTCAATGGCTGATTTTGGGGAAGTAGATTGCCAGGACTTTCTACAGAGGTGCCTCTGGGTGGACCTGAACTTCCAGCCTTTTAGTTAGCAGCCGGCTGTGTTAATCCTTTGCACCACCCAGGGACTCAGTTAAACAGGGCTACTATTAAACAGAAAAATAAGAGTACTAAACAAGAAGAAGGGATCTGCCAAGATCAAGCCTTATCAGGAAAAAATATCCAGGTCCCATGAATTTCTCTCCCAACAGAAAGCCCAGCTGGGCACAGCTCACTTACTGGAAAGCCTACAGCTGTCCTCATGAGCACCTCCCGACATGTACCATGGTGTGAGGGTCTCAGCTTGGGCTCCGGGAAAAGAAAATCTCTTGTGTTTTCTTCGTAGTAGGCCAACTTTTCCCACACTAGGAAGGAGAAATGGTAGGTATTACAAAAGATCAGGGAGGAGATGCAGAGACAGCATGCAGATAAAAATGGACACTTAGAATCCAGCACCTGTTATTCCAGTGGAGAACGACTTCTCCTTTTTCTCTCCTGGAAATGTTTTAAATCCTTGTCCAAGATGTAACAGAGAAAAAAGATCATCTAAAAGGCTGCTCCACAAAACAAAACAAAGAAGAAAACCTATCTTTCCACCCATCCATCCATCCATCCATCCATCCATTCTTTCCTTCAACAAATATTTATTAAGGACATACCTTGGGCCAGTCCCTGGGGATTGAACAGGAACAAGGCAGACCTATTTCTGCCTACACAATGGTTAGACTGGTGTTAAATGTTCTCTGTATGCAGGGATGGTGGTGTCTGAATGGCCCAGAGAACAGCTAGAGCTGTGGTTCATAGCAGGAGTGGTACCAATCCCAGAGAACATTCTGGAAATTTGTGGGGACATTTCGTGGGCAGGAGACAGAGGTGTGAGGTGTCCTACAATGCTCAAGACATCTTCGTACATTGAGCAACTTTGCCCCTCCTGCAAGTGACATTCTAAAGTCCTACCAGACATTCTTGCAAGCTAAAAACCTATTTACAATTATCCGAGCCTAGAACCAAACTCTATTTTCATATAAACACAAAGCACTTTTTTGCCTGGTTTTAAAAGACACTGGGTTTTCCAGGAATGCAGGTACCGTATACATCAAGGAATAATTGTACTTTGTTTTGTTTAGATCTTTACCAAGAGCTGCTTGGCATTTTAAAAATCATGTCACATCTAAATACTTCATTATGCTTTTTGGGTAACTATCCTCAACACTTACGTATTGGTATACATATTATTTTATTATAAATCACTCTCCTTTTATTTCTTCTTTCTATTACAGTTGGAATATTGAATTGATTTTTTGCAGAGACTTGTAAAAGTTGATTATATTAACTAGGAATGTTATTTCAGTATAGTAAAAGGGATGTTACGAGATACTATAAAAAGAAGACCTTGGGTCTAACAGGAGTGAGAACCACTGAGCTAACGGACACAGAACCTGTCAACTGAGCCATCCCCATCTCCATAGCAGGTGCTACAGAAGTGGTTTGGACAAGGGCGGCCCGTATACACAGCACTGTCAAAAAGTAACTGTAGCCAATGAGGTATTTTTACTGTTTGGTGATGGCCATTTTATTTATGAGAAGAATTCTAATGAGGGTATATTTTTAGTACATCAATTGGAGAAAATAATTGACCTTACATCAAGTAATTTGAAGAATTAATTTTTCTCCGACTTATTCCACTTAATATTAATGTTTGGGTTCTAATGAGGAAAGGATCAAAGGGTCATCATTTCATATTTGATCATAATATCCTTTCTTCCAATGGATAAACAAATTATGGTATATCCACACAATGGAATACTACGCAACAATAAAGAACGACGATGAAGCCGTGAAACATCTTATAACATGGAGGAAGCTGGAGGTCATTATGCCAAGGGAATTTAGTCAGTCACAGAAGGACAAATATTGTGTAAGACCACTATTATAAGAACTCAAGAAAAGGCTGAAACACAGAAGAAAACATTATTTGATGGTTACAAGGGTGGGGAGGGAGGGTGAGGGTTATTTACTAACTAGATAATAGATAAGAATTATCTTAGGTGAAGGGAAGGACAGTACACACTACAGGTGAAGTCAGCACAACTGGACTAAACCAAAGCTAAGAAGTTTCCTGAATACAATCAAACACTTTGAGGGACAGAGTAGCAGGGGTAATGGCCTGGGGACCATGCTTTCAGGGGACATCTAGGTCAATTGGCGTAACAAAGCTTATTAAGAAAATGTTCTGCATCCTACTTTGGTGAGCAGTGTCTGGGGTCTTAAAAGCTTGCAAGTGGCCATCTGAGATGCATCAGTTGGTCCCAAGCACCTGGAGTAAAGGAGAATGAAGAACACCAAAGACACAAGGAAAGTATTAGCCCAAGAGACAGAAAGGCCCACATAAACCAGAGATTTTATCAGCCTGAGACCAGAAGAACCAGATGGTGCCTGGCTACCACCGATGACCACCCTGACAGAGAACACAACAGAGAGTCCCGGATGGAGCAGGAGAAAGGTGGGGTGCAGAACTCAAATTCTAGTAAGAAGACCAGACTTAATGGTCTGACTGAGACTGTAGGAACCCCGGAAAGCATGGCCCCTGGATTCTCTATCAGCCCAGAACTAAAACAATTTCTAAGGCCAACTCTTCAGACAGTGATTGGACTGGACTGCAGGATATAAAGTGATACTCGTGAGGAGTGTGCCTCTTAGCTCAAGTAGATACAAGAGACTAAACAAGCAGCTTCTGTCCGGAGGTGAGATGAGAAGGCAGAGAGGGTTAGGATCTGGCTGAATGGACATGGGGAATCAGGGGTGGAAAGGAGGAGTGTGCTGTCACAGTATGAGGAGAGCAATTAGAGTCACATAACAATGTATGTATAAATTTTTCTATGGGAAAAAATAAAAACATTAAAAAAAAATAATATCCTTTCTTCCTGCTCCTCCCTTCCAGACACACTGCAGCCACAACGGACTGAATTATCTTTCCCTCCATAAGCTGTCCACCACCTATCTGTCAGTTTGTCATTCTGTGATGTTTGTGCGTTGCTATTGATGCTGGAAGCTACACCACCGGTATTTCAAATACGAGCAGGGTCACCCACGGTGGACAGATTTCAGCAGATCTTCCAGACCAAGACAGACTAGGAAGAAAGACCTGGCAATCTACTTCTCAAAATTAGCCCATTAAAACCCTATGGATCACAGCCAAATATTGTCCAATACAGTGCTGAAAGATGAGTTGGAAGGCACTCAAAACACACAGCATCCACAACAACAGACTCAAACATACCAAGGATTATGAAGATGGTGCGGGTCCAGGCAATGTCTTGTTCTGTTGTACACGGGGTCACCATGAGTTGGAGCTGACTCGATGGCCACTAACAACAGCAACCATAAGCTGGACAGTCACAGCTTCCACTGTTCCTTCCAAAATGCCCTTTCTTCCTTCTCATCCTGTTGAGATCCTATTCATCCTTCAAGTTTTATATCAAATGTTTTACAGTATTTCCAACATAACAGGTCCAAAACAGAACTCTTGGTATTTTCCCAAAATTAGCTCTCCCATAGTCTTCCCACCAGAAGAATCAACACCATCATCAAGCCAGTTGCTCAAGCACAGAATCTAGGATTCGTCCTTGATTCCACTCTTCCTCTCACTTCTTACATCAACCCATGAGCAAATATTATTGACTCTATCTCCAAAATAAATCTAAAACCTGTCCCCTTCTTGCCATCTGTACAGCTACCATCCTGGTCCAAGCCACCACCATCCCTCACCTGGATACCATAGTGGCCTCCAAGCCAGTCTCCCTCCTTCCATTCTTCCTGCAAAAAAATCTATTCTCCACACACTGAGTTGTTCAGAATACATCGGATTGTGCCTTTCACCTGCTGTCTTGGTTTCCTAGAGCTGCTGTAAGAGAAATACCTCAAGTGGTGGTTTTAAGGAACAGAAATTTATTTTTCATAGTTCTGGAGGCTAAAAGTCTCTATCAGGGTCTCAGCTCTGTTGATTCCTTCTGTAGGTTTCTCTACTGGTTTCTGGTGACTGCTGGCAATCCTTGGTGTTTCTGGGCTTGAAGATGCCTCTGTCTCCATGGTCATGCAGCATCTGTCTTCCCCCTATGCGTGTCTCTGTGTCTACTCTGCTTTTTATAACTCAGAATTGATTAGGTTTAGCACCCACCCTACTCTGGTATAACCTCATTAACATAACAAAGGAAAGACCCTATTTCCAAACAGGATCACATCCACAAGTCCAAGGGCCAGGACTTCAATACATATTTTGGGGGACATAATTCTAATCCACAATACCTGCTTAAAACCTTCTGGTAGGCTTCCCATCATATTAGAATAAAATCCAAGCATCTTTATCCTAGCCTTCAAGACTATATGATAACGCATCTAATCACGTCTCTTATTTCGTTACCGCTTTCCCCCTTGACCCTTCCATGCCATCCCTCCTGCTGTCCCTCAAACATACCATGTTCACCTCTACCTTAGAGTTTTGCTGTACTGTCCTTCTCCCTGTAATGTTCCTTCCCCAGATCCCTGCAAGGTGTCCCGCTTACTGCGTGACATGCCTTGGTTTAAATGCCATCCTACCAGAAAGGTGACATCTCAACCTAAAGGAGCATCCTTCCCTGCCCCTCCTTATCACATGACCTTGCTTTACTCTCTCAACGTAAGCTATCACTAACTAATACTTTTATTCATGTGTTTGTGATCTGCTTCCGTGAACATTCCATAAAAGCAGGGACTGTGCCCTGTTCATTACAATATCTCTGGCTGGGCTGTCCCTGAAAGGTGTGGACCCAGGGCAGTTCAGCCAGTGCAGGACTCAGCCAGGATAATCACAACTGAAGAAAGGCCATACTGTCAGCATCTTTCATAGGCCCCTTGGGCTATCATCAGAGACAGGTATCTCGAAATTAGATTTCAAGGATGTTCAGAAAAGAGTGGTAAGGTGCAGCATCCTGGACCCCACTCCCATGAATGAACAGCGAGGATTAAAATAAGACCAATTACTTAAATGCTTGCCTACACTGTTGTTGTTAGCTGCCATAGAGTCAGCCCCTGACTAATGGTGACTCCACACACAATGGGATCAGGCCATTGTGATCCACAGGGTTTTCACTGGCTGATTTTCAGAAGTAGATCACCAGGCCATTCTTCCAAGTCTGTCTTAATCTGGGAGCTCCACTGAAACCTGTTCAGCGTCATTGCAACACACAAGCCTCCACTGACAGGTGGTGGCTGTGCATGAGGTGCATTAGCTGGGAATCAAACTTCAGGTGTCCTGAATAAAAAGCAAGAATTCTACCACTGACATTGGCTAGTTCTTGTCACTGTATCCAAAATGATAGCTACTGAA